AACTTAAGTCTGAGAAACAAGCAGATCGAGAAAGGCTGCTCAGAAGTTGTCCATCTCTCTCTCTCTCTGTGTAAAGCAGCCCATGAAGTGTGGGGGCTTCCTCTGTGATAACGGGAGGTGGAGGTAGATAAACACACAAAAAAAAGTAATTTTGGAACAGATGGATTTGTGTTGAGGGTGTGCACATTTCCCAGTGGAATCGATATCGATTCTCCCATATCTAAGATATCAGTTATATGTGAGTCAAAGAACTCAGAAACTCGGACTGATCAATTCAAGGGACCGGAAAGGAGAACCGTAGATATACATGTGGGTGAGGGGATTTACCTCCAGCAAGAAAGTGACCCTTACAAGAGAAAGAAGAGGGGCAGTGAAGTCCTTGAGGAAGGAGGGCTTCCTCTATTCGGAGTGTGATGTTATCGCGGATAAAATATATTTCGACTGCTATGCTGAATAAATCTGTATGTTGATGTGATAATATAATATCACGGTTAACGCAGACTTTTGCTCTCGTATGTGAATAAATACCTTTTCCTTGAATCTTTGTGCCAACTCATATTGAGTAAACTGAGGCTCCAGTATACCCTACAATTTGTATGTCTCGCATACGAAACACGTCCTTCTTTCACCCCATATACCCTCAATGTTCTTTTTTACTCAGTTCAGTGTTGCTCTCTTGTCATCCGGCCTCTGCATATGAGTGAATAGTAACTCTCTCAGTGCAGAAATGTCTGGTAACATTTACCTTGATTATCCCGATATGATAAAAGCACAATCTTGGATCTATGCTGTAAGATTGTATTTGTATTCCTTAACGTCTTTAAGGCTTTTAAATTAACCTCTCACTTGTAAAAGTTTAATAAGTTGCGTTTGATTTAATAGCGACCTTAAATGTAGCTTTGCTAGACCGGTTGACGTAAGATTCTTATGACATTTCATATCTCTCTGGGGAGAAGTTCACTCCTCTGAGATAATGAGCAATCATGTCCTTGAGCACAGATGTAAGAATACAGGACCACAGAAAGAAATGGCTGCAGTCTCACACACCCGCGGAGCTCAAGGCGGAGAACCTCTCAGGCTGGAGAAGATCGCCAGAACAAAAGTTGCCACTCTGTCCTTCTCTCGATCAGTGTATTTTTCCATAGGGAATTTCCCTGCTCAGAGTCACCAGCAGTTTGCGAATGGTGGGGGCTATCACTGTGACCTGGGGAGGCAGAGTTAGGATCTCTTAAAGGAAAGATGTTAATATGAAATCTTTGGAGTTGACATGAGAGTCGAAATAAGGGGATGAACACATCTTCCGAGTTGGACCGGATAAGATGGATTTTACTGTAACTATTGTCTCAGTTGGAGATTTTGACTCACTTAATAAACTTTCGATTATTAAACAACGGTATTGGTTGTATCCACCAATTCTATTACAATGAGATTAAGGAAGGATAACGCTGCCTGTGATGACTGGATCTGATGAGAAAGACAGGGTGCTTGGCTGACTTTGAGGAGAGAGAGAGAGTAAGACTGGGTTTTATCAGAGAGGGTTAGACTGAGAGAGAGGGTTAGATTAGCTGTGATGGCAAACAGAGGGTTGGACTGACTGGGATGAGAGAGAGGAGACACTTTTGGGGGTATAACATTCTGACTGGGATTGAAAAATTAAAGAGTGTACAGTAAGTTTGTGTTCCACTGTTTGTGGGACATTGCTGTGCGCAATTGGCTGCCGCGTTCGCCCACAATTATACAGTCAATTCACTTTACAGTATATTTTGTGAAGCGCTGTGAGACGTCAAGAAGACATGAAAAGCTCTATATCAAATGTAAGGCTTATTATTATTATTATTATTAAGTTATGATGCACGAAGCAAGGGGAAAAAGGCGATATAAGTTTTGCGTTGCCAGGCAATTTCTGGACCCATCGTTACGCAAAAGTTTATTTGGCAGACAGCAAAAAAGGTAAATTTAGAGAAAAACAGATAAGCTGTATGTATGGTCATTGTATTTTTTTGTTTCAGTTTTGCTTCAACCATTTCTAATGAATCAATCATTGGTTTGTGTGGAAACCTCCTCGGGAACAGGGCCCGGCTATGATTTACTTTATAATAAAGTCATACAGTTATCCCAGTTTGTAAGCGGACACAGAGAACAACCCATATAAATGCAAGTTTATACGTGCAACATGTATTGTAATTAAAGAAACTAGAAGTAACTGAATGAGCAAGAGTTACACTATGATTTGGTTCATTAACGGAAGAACTCGCCCTTCCACCCTCCTCATGGTCACCTCTACCCTCCCTCACGCTCAGTGTCCTCCACAACTCCAAAATCCCCCGACACACTGTCCCGCGTGAAGGCCGTGATATGAATGGAAGTTGTTGCTGTTACTTGAATTAATCATCGGAGAATGGTTTAAAAAATAAATGGTCTCCGAAATCCATTGTGGAACTTGGTGGTCCACGCCTTGGTCACATCAAGGCTGGACTATGGGAAGTCCCTCCTCGCGGCCTTCCCGCCACCTCCCTCCACACTGCAGGTCATTCAGAGCTCTGCAGCTCGTGTACTGTCCCGCACCAGACACCACGACCACATCACTCCCACTCTCTCTCCCCTCCACTGGCTCCCCATCCCCCAGAGGATCCAATTCAAGATCCTCATCCCCACCTACAAGGCCATTCGCGGCCTCGCTCCCTCCTACCTCTCCGACCTACTATCCCCGGACTTACCTGCCCGTACTCTCCGTTCCTGTGGCTCTGGTCTGCTCCACACCCCCCGCCCCAACCGCCCGACCATCGGTGGTCGGGCCTTCAGCCTCTCAGCCCCGAGGCTCTGGAACTCTATCCCCCAGTGCCTTCGCCGCCTCCTCCCTCTCCTCCTTCAAGGCCGGTCTCAAGATCTTTCTCTTTGACCGAGCCTTCAGCTCCCCTCTCGACTCTCTATCCACTAATCGCCCCCTCCCTTCACTCCCCTCACCCTGACCATCTCCCCTCCAATGCTCGGGTCCTGACCCAACTGTACAGCGCTTTGGGACGTCCTCCCGACGTGAAAGGCGCTCTATAAATGGAATTGTGTTGTTGTTACTCTCACACACACACACACTGACTGCTGTTCCCCACACACACACTGACTGCTCTCTCACACACACACTGACTGCTCTCACACACACACACACACTGACTGCTCTCTCTCTCACACACACACTGACTGCTCTCACACACACACACACTGACTGCTCTCTCTCTCTCTCACACACACACTGACTGCTCTCATACACACAAACTGACTGCTCTCTCACACACACACACTGGCTCCTCTCACACACACAAACACACTGACTGTTCTCACACACACACACACACACTGACTGCTCTCACATACACACACACACTGACTGCTCACAAACACACACACTGACTGCTCTCTCTCACACACACACACACACACTGACTTCTCTCCCTCTCCCACACACACACACGCACACTGACTGCTCTCTCACACACACTGACTGCTCTCTCACACACACACACACACACACACTGACTGCTCTCTCTCACACACACACACACTGACTGCTCTCACACACACACACACACTGACTGCTCTCTCTCTCTCACACACACACACTGACTGTTCACACACACACCAACTGCTCGCTCACACACACATACTGACTGCTCTCACACACACACACACTGACTGCTCTCACACACACTGACTGCTCTCTCACACACACATATTTACTGCTCTCACACCAACACACACACACACACTGACTGCTCTCTCTCACACACACACACACTGACTGCTCTCACACACACACTGAATGCTCTCTCACACACACACACTGACTGCTCTCTCTCACACACATATTGACTGCTCTCACACACACACACACTGACTGCTCACACACACACACACTGACTGCTCTCACACACACACACACACTGACTGCTCTTTCTCACACACACACTGACTGCTCTCACACACATACACACTGACTGCTCACACTCACACACATACACTGACTGCTCTCTCTCACACACACACATACACACACACTGAGTGCTCTCACACACACACACACTGACTGCTCTTTCTCACATACACACACACACACTGACTGCTCACAAACACACACACTGAATGCTCTCTCTCTCTCTCTCTCACACACACACACACACTGACTGCTCTCCCTATCACACACACACGCACACTGACTGCTCTCACACACACACTTACTGTTCTCTCACACACACACTGACTGCTCTCTCTCGCACACACACACTGAGTGCTCTCTCACACACAAACACACTGACTGCTCTCACACACACACACACACTGACTGCTCTCACACACACTGACTGCTCTTTCTCACACACACACACACACACTGACTGCTCTCACACACACACACTGACTGTTCTCTCACACACACACACACACTGACTGCTCTCTCACACACACACACACACTGACTGCTCTTTCACACACACACACACACTGACTGCTCTTTCTCACACACACACACACTGACTGCTCTCACACACACACACTGACTGCTCTCTCACACACACACATACACTGACTGCTCTCTCGCCCACTCTCTCATAGACAAGCACTGACTGAGGTAAACACACACACACACAAATAGAGAGAGAGAGACGGAGACTAAGAGAGACAATGAAAGAGAGAGACTGAAATAGAGAGATGGAGATATATAAACTGAGAGAGACTGACAGAGAGAGAGAGAGAGAGAGAGAGACTGTGAGAGAAAGTGCATCAGTTGTGGTCGCTTACAGCAGTTTAGCAGTGACTGAGGGTCGGGGCTCTCCAGCCGCCCGCACGGCCGTAGGCGGTGTGTGTCAATAACGGTCCCCAGAGCAGAGATGGGAGAGGAATCAGGATCAACATCTTTAATAATCAGTCACTACAGTGTCCAGAATATATTCCATATTACACAGACTGTGTGGACAGTCACTGCCTCAGTCAGTGTCACACTATCACTAACAGCTCAGCTCTGATTCCCCGCAGTGACCGCAGCTGATTCTCTCCGTCTGAACTGAACCCATTCCCCCACAGCCTGAAACACATTAAACAGGAAATAAACCAATGGGATAATGGTACAAACTGTAAAATGTTCGTGTCGCAGTTTAATGAATAAATAAATCCCTTCAAACTGTTCCCATTCTGATACGCGGCGTTTTCTCTGTGTATTTATCACATTAAGCACTGACACAAACACTCACCTGATCCTCTCCAGACTGGTGCAGGTCTGTATGAGGCGGCGGAGAGCGGAGACAGAGCCGTCTGTGAAGGAGTTAGACCTCAGGTCCAGGATCCTCAGTGAGCGGTTTGTACTGAGAGCGGAGACCAGAGCATCAGTGCAGCCATCGGTCAGTCTGTTACTGTCCAACCTGGAGATCAGAGACACAGAGACATGACAGGGATCAGAGTAAACACTGTGGGTATAACCCACTGTCACTCACAGTTTGTTTGATGCCGGACAGGTTGCAGGAGTTCATACACACAAACACACACACACACACCAACACACACAAACACAGACAAAAACATCGCCGCAGACACACACTTACTCTCACACACACAAATACACACAAACACAAACACATGACCCACAGAAAAATACACACAAACACACACAAATAGAGTCACATAAACAGAGAGACGCACACAGATACACACATAAATAAACACACTCACACACGCAGACAAACAAATACACAAGCACTCTCACACAAACGCGCTCACACAGAAACATACACAATCACACACAGAAACTCACACACGCAAACACATACGTACGCAAACACACGCACAGAAACGCATACAAGCAAACACAAACACACACACAAACAATCAATCATTCACACAAACGCACACACAAACAATCAATCATTCACACAAACGCACACACAAACAGTCAATCATTCGCACATACACACACATATGCACACAAACACAACCACACGCAAACACACACAGAAAAAAACCCACGCACGCACAAACACGCATACACACACAAACATACATAAACATTCACACAAACACACACACAGAGAAACACACAAACAAACAAACGTACACGAAAACAGACTGACAAACACGCACACACAAATACCCACAAACATACAAACGCACATAAAGACACACTCAAAAACACACAATCCCAAACAGAAGCACAGCACATACAAACAAACAGATATAAATAGACATACATAGATACACACAAACACACACAAATATACACACACAAACTCACACGCACACACAGAAACACAGAAACACACACAAAAACTCATACAAACACTCACAAATTCACACACACAAAATCGAACACACGCCAACACACACACTCAAACACACACACACGCAAACATAAGCACAATCACTCACACAAGCACACATACAAACATAAACAAAATGGCACACAGACACACACACATAAATACATACACACACACACAAACACATGACGCACAGACAAGTACACACACACAGACACACACGCAAACACACTTATGCAAGCACACACACATACACACACAAACAAACACATGTGGAACAGACAAATACAGACACACTCAGAGATACACACACACACATACACAGAGAAACACACAGAAACAAACACACACACTCACAGAAACACAAACAAACGGACACACACACAAACACACGCAAACATACACGTAAACACACACACACAGAAAAAAGCACACAAGTACACACACAAATAAACATACACAGACATATACAAACATACATAACCATACACGCGAAACCACACGCACAAATACACACAGAAACACACAAACAAAGACACACAAAAACAAACTCACAAATACGCACACACAAAAACACAACACACAATCACACACACACAGACATAGAAACATACATAAAGACAAACAGACACACACTCAAAAACACACAAACAAACACAAAATCAAATACAAACACAGACATAAATACACATACATAGATTCACACAAAGAAACATACGCAAATACATACACACACAAGGACAAACAAACACCCACACACAAACACACACACACACATAAAACACCCACACACAAACACACACAGAAAAACACACAAACATAAATACACATACACACAATCAAACACACAAACGTGCAAGCACACAGACACAACCACGCACATAGCCGCAGGCACGCACACACACTCACACACACACAAACACACACACACAAATACACAATAACATCAATAAAATTGCATTTACAGAGCGCCTTTCACGTCGACAGGACGTCCCAAAGCGCTGAACAGTCAGGTGTTGGGACCTGAGCATGGGGGAGGGGTGGGGGAGGGGAAGGGACCGTGGGATTGCGTCCCAGAGTGTGGGGCAGAGAGGCTGAAAGCCCGGACACCGATGGGAGGGCGGGTCGGGCGGGAGACATGGAGCAGCCCGGAGCCCACTGGCCGGAGGGAGCGGGCAGGTTGGTAGGGAGTCAGCAGGTCAGAGAGGGGAGGAGGGGGCGAGGCCATGGATGGCCTTAAAGGTGAGGACGACGATCTTGAACTCGATCCTCTGGGATACACACACACACAATCGCACACACTCACAGGAACACACACAAACAAACACAGAATCGCACACACTCACAGAAACATACACAAACGCACACAACAACAACAACAGTCGAACACAAATACACACTGAGACACAAAAAACCCCGCAGAAACACACACAGACAGAGACACTCATATAAACACATCGAGAAACAACATATATACAGATATACTCAAAAACACACGTACAAACACAAACACAGAAACAAAGACAAACAAACACACAAACAATCGCTCACACAGACAAACACACACACACTTACGAAAGCACTCACAAAAGCACAGAGCCACATACACAGGCAAACGCACACATACACACAGACACGCAAACACACACACACAAAAGCATATGCATTGACACACACATACATACACACACATACACAAACACGTGCACTGACACACACACACACAGAGACATATACACACACAGTGTTATCGTGGGTTAATGTTAAAGTGTGGTTCAAGAATCTAAAATAGAAGTGCAAAGGCGGCAAAGCTCAGTGACTGAAGGCAGAACCCAAAACAATGGCAATATAAGGTCAGGACATACAGGGACACGGAAAGTCCTTGTGGTTAAAGGGAGAATTGAAATTGAAACATATTATGGATATAACCACATAAGGAGTTGTTTTTCTTAAAAAGACAGTTTTGTCTGGAGATATACAGTTGTCTTTAAACAAAGGTGTGTCAGATATCTCTCGGGACGGTAGCGGAGCAGTGCGAGACACGACCAGTGCTTTGACAGAAATCCGCTCTGTACCGTTTTATGTCTTGTGTATTATTTTATTGTTTCATTTATTTGTGTATTTCCTGCTCTTTTGACCTGAATATAGTGACTGAACTCAACCAAATGGTAGATTGGAAGAGGATCATTGCAAAGTCGTTGTAAATAGTTGCAAATGTTTCTGACAACAGACACACACGCACATTCAACCACAAACATAGATACACACACAGACACACACACACAGTCGCAGACTCGCAGACAGAGAGACACACAGACATGCACCGACACACAGACACATACACACACACACAGAAAGACGCGCACACCCGCACAGACACACAGACACATTAATCCATGTTGAGAGTTTGATGTAAACGATGGTTTGTGGCCTCACACGGTCTCACCGATTCCTGTCACAATATTCAGCCGCACTGATCAGACAGTCACAATAAACACATTGAGATATTGGAGTCATTCAGACTCTGGAGACACAGTGCGTTACTTACCTGAGAATCTGTATTTTACACTCCGAGTTCCTCAGAGCCTCACACAGTCGCTTCACTCCACAATCTCCCAGATTATTGCTCTCCAGCCTGGACACAGGACACAAACACAGGGAATATAGTGTAACAACACAATACACATTGACATGTATATACAGGAGCCTTTCACGTGGGGAGCAACTTTGTGTTTCTCAGGCACTTTCTCTCTCTCTCCCTCTCGCGGTAACTTTCGCTATCGCTCACAGATATACAGTCAATTCACTTGAATTCGATTCTGTGAAGCGCTTTGAGCCGTGTACAAGGGGTGAAAAGCACTATATCAAACACAAGGATTGTTATTAGTTGTAGCAGTAGAAGTAGCATTATCTCTTCCGGCAGTTTATCCCAATCTCTCTCTCGCTCTCTCAGTCAATCTGTATCTGTTTTCCCCACAAAACACTTCACAATATATTCTCTCTCACTATCTCTCTCTCTCTCTCTCTCAATCTTTCTGAGTCTCTGTCTCTATTTCGGTCTCTGTCCCTCAATCTCTCTCTCACTCTCTCTCACTCTCTCAATCATTTTCTCAGTCTCTGTTTCTCTCTATCTGTGTCTATAATGTCTCTTTCTGTCTCTCTCTCTCAATGTCTCTCTGTCTCAGTCAGTCAATCTCTTTGAGTGTCTCTGTCTCGTCAACAAAACATACAGTCACTACACATTATAATATACTCTCTCTCCATTTCTGTCTCACTCAGTCTTTCAGTCTCTTCTCTTCCTCATATCTCTCTCAGTCGCTCTTTATCTTTAAGTCTCTCTCTCCATTATTCTCGCCCTTCAGTCTCTCTCTCTCTCTCTCCCTCAGCCTCTCTCTCTTTCTCAGTCTCTCTCTCTCTGTGTTTGCCAGAATCGCTCTCCCTCCTTCTACGTGTCTCAGTCTCTCATCCTCTCAGTCTCTCAGACTATCTTTCTCTATTGGTGTCTCTCAGTATCTCTTTCTGTCGCTCGCTCACATTCTCTCTCACTCTGTGTCTCTGAGTCACTTTCTCTCTCAGCCTCCCTCTCTGTTTGTTTCTCTCCTCTCACGCATTCACTCTCTCACTCTCTCATTTTCTCACTCGGTTTGTCTCTCTCAGTCTCCCTTTCCCAATCTCTCACTCTCTCTCTCTGTCTCAATCTCTGTCTGATCACTCTCTCTCTCAGTCTCTCTCTCTCTGTCTTGTTGTCTCTCTCACGCTCTCCCAGTCAGTGCCTATCTGGCTCTCTCTCCTCCTTTCGTTCTGCCTCTCTTTCTCTCTCTCTCTTTCTCTTTCTTTGTCAGTCTCTCTCACTGACTCTCTCTCTGTTTCTATCTCTCTCTGTCTGTCTCTTTCTCTCTCGCAGTAACACTGTCTGTCACACAAAACACAGTGGCACTAAACTTTAAAATATCTCTCTCACACTCTCTCTCTACGTTTTTCTCTCTCTCATTTTCTCTCTGTATCTCTCACTCTTCTTTCCCTCATTGAATCTCTCGCCCTGTCTCTGTCTTTATCTCTGACTGTCACTGTCTCTCTCTCTCTCTCTCTGTGTATGTTTCTCTCTCAGTCTCTCTCTCGCTCTCTCTCTCTCTCACAGTCTGTCTAAC